GATCATGTTTTTACATCGTAATATTATCGTTCTTACTTTAAAACGTCAATAAACTGTGGGATGCATTCAACCAGTGTGACAAACGGACATGGGTATTTGGTGCATTAAGAGTATTTATTATTTGATGGTTATCAACTTAAATTGCAATTTTGCCTGGAATGGGGGATATTCAACGGGACTGCATTTTTTTTATTTGTTGCTAGTATTGAGTTTGGGCAATCGAAGAAACGTCACTCTCGTGTAAAGAGTAAGATGCATTGGTATAACTTTGTCCTTGTCATTAAATGTAACGAGGAAAAACAAAGAAATCAATTTCTTGTAGACCTATTGATAAGGGACAACGTTTATTATATTTCTATTTCTTGAAAACATACTCAATTATGGCAATGAGAAGTCGATTCAAATACAGCGAAGATTTCTCTGTTGTTCGATGTAATAAACATATATTACATAAATCAGTGGCAACGAAATATGCATTGAAAGTGTAGGAACAAAGTAGTCTTTACAACATGCAATGTATGAATAATTAGAAAACGCTCATATTTTCATGAACAACATAATTCACAAAATGGCAATTCTATTATTTTTTCGTGGTAAACTGCACGCACGCAAATGTTTCTCTGTAAAGGTTGTTGTTCATGTTCACAAAACGTATAAAATCTTTTAAAAGGCACATTATGTGTAGTTTTATCTAGCAGTAATTCTGGCGTACGATGTCCTACAGTATCTTCGGTATATAACTAGATGTCTATATTCTGTAATTATGTGATATAATTATCTGACGGCGGTAAGTAAGGTCTGCGTTAGGAATAGTTCAAGACATCAATTTATGCTTTCATTAATCATCACTGTGTGTTTGTCTTATTTTGCTGGGCATCATGTTTGTTATCCTCTCCCACCCCACCCAAGGTGGGTGGAAGGAATAACAGTCGAACCGGCCCTAAGCTAAAGGCGCTAGTTTATTGCGACTGGGAAATTATTGCCCCTCCCCCCCTTTTCTACAGGCATACACATTACACATAAAAGGATAAGCTAACTTATACAATAATAAAAGAACGCTATTCTTTTTTCCCTTTTAATATGAATACGATAACTATAAATCATCTGCCTATCAATATATTTCACTTTAAACGCAAAACAGACATGTACTATGGATAGTAATGGGTATCTAAATTACAGTTTGAGCACTTGCCAGTCCTTGTTTAGTCAAACAATATGCATTTTATACAGTCCATAACTAATAACTGTCAAGCAATACTGCCTTTAAAGTTCCAAGCTAAAGTTACCACACATATTAACTGGAGAAGATGAAAGTATTTCTTTGGAGTACGAAAGTAGTCACCAAGATATTTGAATACTCATTACTATCCCACTAGAAGATGTATCATGCTAAATATCTTAGCTTTAGCTCTTTGAGTTCTTTAAAAGAAGTTTTTTATGTTTTTACTATATGCATATAGGGAAAATCAATGACCCCCTGGGGCAGGGCCAATTTTGACCCCAGGGCTTTTATTTGAACACTTAGTAGACACTCATTAGAAGATGTTTCATGTTAAATATCTTCGCTCTAGCTCTTTGGGTGCTTTAAAAGAAGATTTTTTAAGTTTTTACTATATGCATATAGGGAAAATCAATGACCCCCTGGGGTGGGGCCAATTTTGACCCCAGGGCTTTTATTTGAACAAACTTGGTAGACACTCACTAGAAGATGCTTCATGCTAAATATCTAAGCTCTAGCTCTTTGGATTTTTAAAAGAAGATATTTAAAGTTTTTTCTTTCACTTGCCATGGCAACCAGAGTTCTGCATGGAATTAAATTCTTTGAACAATTTTTAAAGGTGACCACCAAAGGAACATTCCTGTGAAGTTTGGATGAAATTGGCTTAGTGGATTATGAGGAGATGTCATTTAAAATAAAAGTTTACGGACGGACGGACGCTGGACGAAAAGCGATCACAAAAGCTCACCCTGTATCTTTGTGACAGGTGAGCTAAAAATACAGAAATTGCGTTGCAGAAAAAGCATGTCTCCACTCCCCCCCCAACCCCCTATCTCCTTGCATATGGAAGCAACGCTTTCATGTATCATTAAAATATGAAAGCCGTATGATGTAGAGCAGAAACTAAATTCACAACAAGGGCAACATTGTCGCAAAATACGCTTGTCACAAAAGCTTTTGTCAGAGATGTGGGAATTATAGATATGCATATAGCAGATATGCTCTGGGCAATATCCGGACAATATCTGGATATTTTATCATCTCTAGTGACCTTGACCTTGCAAATATTAATGGACCTGGATTATGTGCGCAATACTTAGCTTCACAATGGTAGTCATGATAATGACCTTTTGTGTTTCAATCATATGAAGTTTGAAAGACTGTAGATCAAACCAAACTCAAGTAATTGAGCAGATAAACAAATTTTAATAAAAAGGGAGATAATTAAAAAATGAAGAGTTATGCTTCTTGTTCACTGCACTTCTTCTCACTGCCACCTAAAAGAAAAATTAAGTTTCTTTAATTGCCCTTCAGTAGTTTCCTGGTTATTGAGCTGACAAACAATTTTTAAGTATCGAAAGGGAGATAATTCAAAAGTATTGTATATATAGAGTTATGGTTTTTGTGCACTGCACTCTCTCTCATTGACAGCCAAGTATCTCTGAATTCCCTTGTAAGGTTTTAAAGTTTTCGTCCAGACAAGCAAAATCCGGAAAGACTGACTGATAGACTAAGACTTACAGCATTTCTATATCCCCCTCCCGCTTTGTCGTGGGGGATAATAGGAAAGCAGCAAAACAAATAGTTCTCTAGAGCCAAGACATACAGGGCAAAACCAAAACGTCCCAAAGTAGGGGGAGACATAACAATAATAGGAGGTATTATCTAAACTTAACTTCAATATATATACAGTTTATTTTGACAATTTCATAGTCAGTTCCTTTCACATATAACATTTCATTTTCTACTCACACATAATTCTGATCAAACAACACTTACTCCATGAATTTAATTCAAAAACTTTTTCACTTATTTACCACCAGACTCTGCTGTTCCATTTTTTAATTTAACATATGATACGGTAACAAAGAATAGGCAATTTCATTAGGGAAATTTTAACAATGAAGTCATAGTTGAATATTTCATAAAAAAATTCCTGTGTAAACTTATATGCTTGTGCAACAATAAATAATTACGAAAATTCCTTTTAATCATTTAACAAACGAATCTGTGAAGTTAAATAACTTCAAATAAAACAACTTTAATTTTAATTCAGTGCAGAAGCTACGAAATATTTCTCAATGATTTCATTGTTGAGATTTCCCTTCTCAACTCTTAATATTTCTACTATTTTTAGTTCAACAAGTTTGACTTCCAGACAGTTTCATAATACAAGGACACTATAACAACTTAATGAGGTAAAGAATATTCAGTCTGAAACCAGGACAGTAAATAAATGTGACATGTGCCACAGAAGGTGCATATTCAGCATCAGTGTCCTTGACACTTTTCCATAACCTGCTAAGTAGGTTTTCATAGGACCAATGAGTATCACTAAAGTAACAAATACCCTAAATTATAAATCCAATTTAGAAGCTATTGCCAAACTGTTATGAGTAAGACAGATAAATGGATGGAGCACAGACTAATGTTAAGCTAATAAATATTTATACCAAGTTTATTTAATATTTATCTTGACAGTCACCAAAATTTCATTCTTGACAGTCACCAAAATTTCATTCATAATAAATGACTAACAGAAAGAAGCACAATAAATTTATATTGCATGTAATATGATGAACAAGAAGCTTCAAATGTGTGAAAGAACAAGCTTTCACTTCCAATTGAGGACACACTGTAAAATGAATGCCAATTGAAGGCATATTTCAGATGTGTACATACTAGGCATAATCTACTCCACTTCATGACTCTCAGTATAATAGGTTCCAATCGAAGACACACTCACTATAAAATAAGACCATTCAAACACACTCACTGTAAAATAAGGATATTCAAACAGACCTGTTCACACTTACAATCGCATAAACATATACATTCAAAAATAGACTGCCTATATAGAGTTAAGTGACAGCCAGCTTAGAATGCTTGAGGTCTGGGGTTCAAATCCTAGCAGTGTGATACCAAAAACTTTAACAAAAGCATCGCTTAGCGGTATAACATTCAAATGACTTTTCAAAGACTTAGCGTATCTACACTTACATTTTATCAAAGTATATAAACAATTTTTAAGAATAAAGAGGTCATAACTCACCGAAAATGTAAAGCACAGTTACTAGTCGTATATTCTAAGCAAATAATGATAATTGAGTATACCATGTCTCAAGTAAAAAATTACCAAATCTGTTGTATTAAATTTGTCGATTTGCAGAATGGAATAAAAAAACAACAACAACAAAAACCCAATCGTTTTGAACAAATCTGAAATATGCGCCTAATATATCTATATATGAGCATATGAATTTTTCATTTTCATCGGAGACAGAACCACTTGATATTTGCGACAGCAAGCAAAATAATTTTTTTTCCAATATTTTTCCGACTATGGTGGAAAATCCCACTGACGGACAATATATCTTAAAATAGACATCATAACCAAAAATAAACACAGGTGCTTGATTCTGAACTTACAAATCACCAACATAATAATGTATCGAATGCAACTATATCCACATAATGGTAGGTCACAAGGTATCACCCAGAATACAGTCTCATTGACTTTCGTAATGGACTACTTAAAGTCGTTCAGATGAAAATGTAAAGTACTTGAAGTTTGATGGTGGTATGCATGCCAATCATGGAGCACTCACACAAGGGTCTAGTTTTATAGAACATATTACTTATAATAACACTATTCATCCAAAAGCCATTATCACTTCGAATCAATACTACAAGATTGTTCAAAACTCAGCCTTTTTTCACAAACTGGCACAGTAAATTGTACAATTGTTTCTGCGATTACGAAACCTAACTATTATTTATTTCAATTGCATGATTTTTGTCTCTTCATAGCAAGTTGCCTTGTTCGTACAAATCCTTTGACCATAGTCCAAGTCCTTCTTGTAAGAACTGGGTGCTTTTTTATTAGCTGCTCACATTCCAGCTTCTTTGGGAGAACATTTAGTGTGAAACACTTCTTAAATTCACTAAAAACAATGTCCTGCTCCTCTTTGGACCAAGGTGTTTTCTGTGATATTTTTCTCCTCTTTCCTGAAGTATATAATAATTTTGACATATGAAAATAGCATGGTCTAAACCAAACAATTTATATTGATAAATAATAGTAATGAATACTAAGTACCATCTCATTGAAACTTTAAAGATATACTATGCTCATCTTTGAGTAAAATATTTTTATCTTAAAAATGTATTGAAATCCATGAAATTCTTACTGAATTTAATTTGAATAAAATAATGAACAAACTATGTATGGGAAACTGCATTCCATATTACAGGTCAAGTAAAGTTGGTCTTTTCTTAAAAAAACTGCAAGTTTTTTAATGACATTATATATTCATATTGTGACCACCTATAGTGTGTAGAGTTCAAAACATAACATATCTACTTTAAATGAAGTCGAAACATGCTTATTTTATAAATACAAAGAGACTGTGTAGCAATTATTAGTATTTTCAAAAATCAAATTTGAGAGTAGTATATCTTTAAAGCCTCTGAACGTATTTGTAAAAATTGTTCTATCGAAAGGGCTTTACCTCCGAACAAAAATGACAAAATATTTAGTTTTTGAAATGCTTCCTTTACTCACAAGCCCTGTTCATTGTCTGGTTCTTTTCCATGCTTCATGTAATTTTGCAAAATTATCCTTCCTGCTGGTTAGTAACCGTTATGGGAATGCCTGGGTATTCCCCAAAAATTTGGCGAATTTATAGGTGAAATACAATGTTTTCTTCATTTTCATTTGTTTGATTATCTTTAGCTAACATATTTTACTTTGTGTAATTCTTCTACCACAAACACATTCCTAGGCTTTAATAGCTAAAAAAAAGATACATAGAGCTTTAATTTGTGTATATTTTTATCAATCAATGCCAATGACTCAACAATAAGTGTTTCATTTTATCTTCTTTTGGCATTAAGATAATGGCAGTCAAGCTTAGTCCAGTCATATGTTGCTTCTTTTCAGTATTTTATCGTTAAATAAGTTGTTACCTATAGGTTTCTTGCATGAAGCATCAGCCTCCGAATCATCAGAGTATTCTGAAAAAACGTCTTCCCTGTCACTGTTATCATTCTCCACCACACCATCAGTAGGCTCCACAATATTGTCATCGTCTTCATCACTTGCTGGTTCATACTCTGCATGAAAGAAAATTTGCAATCTCAAGTACAAGATGATCATTTATTTCTTGAAGTATAGCATCTGGGGTTTTTTTTTTGCAAGTGGAATTCTGTGATCATGTATTAAGGTATTCATATTTGTTATTAAACAATATGATATCTTCCATCCAAATTCAAATAAAATACAACGCAATTTAAAACCAAAAACATTTTTTGCTTTTATCAAAATAGTCTTGCAAAACAATCATAAGATTCAATCCTATTCTTTTTTCCAAGTTACTCTTCCTTATGAAGATGAAGAATCAGACTTTTTGAAAGTACATGAAAATAAATTCACAAATTATTTATATTTAGGAGTTTTCCAACAGTCAATAAGCGACAATAATGTATCTAAATAAACAAAATGGGAACTACTAAGCAAAATAAAACATTGTTTGATATAAGCAAATGCCTGGGAGTGTCTGACAAGCTAAAATCATACTGGACAGGTTAAATATTTTAACATACTAAAATTAACTGTCAGGCTAGTGGATAGTTTAGCCTGTTTGTTTGAGAGATAAAAATTTTACATTAGTAACTGGTGCAGACAGGAATTTCCAGCCCGAAGCTCTGCATTCACATTTGCATCGTTACCAGTGGCTGATTATTTTTCTTGCACATATCAATTACAAATGGAATATGTAAAGAAATGGATTTAAAAAATGCATTGTTGAATGCTTTATCAAAAATTGTTTAAATTGTGTCCAAATCACTATAATATATCTAAAAAACTGACTACTTAAAATAACATTGTCATATTTGCAAGCCATTGTTGAAAACTTTGATCTGGCCAAGCTTGTTTGTTTGTTTGTTTGGGTTTTACGTCACATCAACACAGTATATGTCATATCGCGACGTTCCAGCTTTACTGGTGGAGGAAGACCTCAGGTGCCCTTCCGTGCATTATTTCAGGCACAAACGGGCACCTGAGTAGAACCACTGACGTTCAGTAAGCTAGCTGGATAGCTTCCTCTCATGAAAGAATCCCTGTCTGGATTCAAACCCACAGCGATGAGGGGCAAGTGGTTTGAAGTCAACGACCTTAACCACTCGGCCACGGACGGCCCTGATCTTGCCAAGTAATATAAGTGAGACAAGAAATGTGTTCAAAGGACACAGGCACCCCCTCTTCTGGCCATTGTCAAAAGAGCTTAGTACAGTAGTCATATAATGCAATCCTAACAAAGTTGGTGCTCTACAAATCAAGCTTAACATTCATATGAAGTTTCAATATTGTTTTCGAGATTACATACTCAATAAACACTCTCAAGGGCAATAATTATGTGACAAAAATAACACAAGGTGCAATACATCACAAGATGATTAACATTCATATGAAGTTTCATAACTCTGGTTCAAATCATTTTTGAAAGACATGCAACACAAGATGATTGACAAGATTATTTGGATGGAGGAGAAAACGGACACCCAGCAAAATCAGAACAATTTCTTTTGTTATTTTTTTAAAAGAGGGCCATGGCCCCTTACTTTTTTGTTACGGAATGAACTGTTTTTTCCTGTTGTTTTGTTTACACTTAGATGGCCCCCTATACGATTTCAGTTGTGCTGACTGACAGACATACAGACAAGGGCAAATATATATACCCCCTTCTTTAGAGAGGGGGCACAAAAACTTGCACCAAGAACTTATAGCCCATTATTTCAATAGGGGTATGTTGATTAAATTTAGTCAAACACTGATAAATATGTTATTTAATTTATATATAATTCATTCATTGTTATAATTCTATAATTTGAATCTTTGGATTACATGAGGGTGTAAGCTAATGATATAAATTCTTAATTCAGATAATATAAAATACAATAGCAAATTACCCAGATCTCCTTCAGCATCAATATCATCAAAATTCTTTCCTTTAATAGAATCCAGTGACCCAATATTGAGCGCATGAAGAACTTTGGATACCTTAGCAACTTCCAAGGTGCTTTGAGGAAGTCTATCAAAATCCCTATGAACATTTAGATCATGACCCGTGAACCTGGCTAGAATGTCCTGATCGTTGTTGTCTAAGTTCAAAACTTGTGACATGGTGGCAAGTTGTTTTCTCAAAGAAGTGGATGTAACTGACTTTGGATGTTTTAAAGCAGCTTCTGAGGTAAATCTTCTGAGAACATCTGCCCCACGTAATGGAAACTTAGCTCCTGGTAGTTGAAAGAGGTATTCTGTTTCTTCATTCTTTAGAGAAATCAACTGGTCAATGTTGGCTTTCATGGTCTTAGTAAGCAGAATGGCAACTTTCCTACCCTTCTTCCCTCGTGTTTCTATTCTACTATGGTTTCTACACAGAAATTGTTCAAATTTTGACATGCATCGTTTTACATCTTCATCAACTGGAGCATCTGCAACAGAAGCTTTCTCTGTAGGTGTTTGTCTTCAGTCTTTGCACTTCACCTGCCCGTTTTCGATTGTAAAGAATCACTTGTGCTAAGCAGAGTTGAGCTAACTTGTTGTGTTTAAAATTGTCATCTTCTCTTGATAATGCCGTCATTTGTATTTCTTCTGAAATGTATTCTGTTAATTTCTTCACATCTTCCGCTAACGGTATCATTTGCACCTTGTTATATTTCGCCTCCGATTTAGACTCGTAGGCTTTGCAGCCAATTCTTTCAGTCCAGTCTGCTTGGTATGTTTCTAAGAAGTCCTGTATTCTTTCTTTCATTTCACTGTCCTCATTTTTTCTGGCATTTATGAGAACTATTTTTGCACATTTCTTAATATAATGGCCAAGCTTTTGAGCAAGAGTTGGTTTTCTGAAAGTTGAAGTTGATATGTCATACTCAGCTACTTTTTTTACTGCCTTTAACAGGAGCTCCCAGTTTCTAGATATCAAACACTGCTGAAGTTTTGTAACATGGATGTCTGTTTCTGCTACTGCAATCATGAGCCTTCCAAATGACCTCATATTTTCAGATATGTATTGGTGAGTATGATGATGTTTTCCGATTTTTTCAAATTTTCTCTCCCCAAACTGAATGATGAGAGGATCACCCTTGACCTTGCATGTAATTATGTCATCTCTCATGTTTTTAAGTATGTTGCTTTTAAATTCATTTGAACATTGCACTGTCACGGGAAGAAGCAGGCGCGAGTTTTTGACAGGAGCATCACTTTTCATAAAGTCTGGTTCCAGAGGGCAGGCTTTGTGATGTTTCCACAGTACCGTTGATATAAATTCTGCTCTACAGAATTCACATGGCAAATATTCCTGCTTTTGCTTTGATTTCCTTGGTCTATATTTGGGAATAATAATGCCAGAGCCTTTCATTTTCACTTTTTCATTATGGACAGCCATGCCTCGCGCAGCAAGTGCTGCCCATGCTTTTCTTCTTTCGTTGGACTTGCAAGGATAACTTAAAGCACGAGCGACATCAATTTCATTGCCATGTTTGTTTTCAAGATGGCGGTATAGTTTTGAAGTCAAGTTTTCACAGTACACACAACACAGCTTTTTCGCTACAAATTTACCAGATTTGGACTTAACCCTTTGAACGGTGATTTGAGGTTTATCAGTTAGTTCTTTAAATGTGACTACCGATGATTCTGTGTCACTTCCACTCACATAGTTATCCTCTTTGTTTAAATAGAAAAAGTCTGTTGGGAGAATCATACCATCAGTGATACACTGAAAAATCCACTCTTTATGAACACAGGAACCTGTAAATGAAATAAACCTTCATCAGAAAATAAAAAAATTAAGATATACAATATGAAATACTATATAACTGCCCACTACTAGAGATCCCAATGGTTAGAACTGCTCAGCCAAGGAATATGACTACTGACCTGAGCCAGGTAACTATTGTCACGACAAAGTCGCCATCAATAGTTGACTGAGAGGTTCAATAATCATATTTCGAGGCTGAATAATTCTTATCCTTATTATTCTTAAGAAGTAGATAGATGTTTTGTCATATTATATAAAATCAAATGTAGAAAAATACAGAGAACAAAATTTGAACTGATTGATGTTATCTTATTATGTAAGCGTTTGTTTAAGTTTTGTTGACAAAATGTTTGCATGTAGCTTGTGGGCATAACATAAAAGTGCATATGTGTAAAGTGCAAGTTTAGACTATTGACTTATCTGTAACAATTTGGATTTCACTAGATAAACGGTTAACAGTATATATTTCAGAGGTCAATAGTCTTTTCTTTCAGAAGAATAGAGACAATAGCTCAATTTAATCGACCTGACGTGTTCATTTTTTAAACTAGTAAGAACAAAGCATTATTAGTGATATATAATAAGAGTACTTAAAAGTAACAAACAAGAGCACCGCTAGGTGGAGCATTATATGCCTGAAAGTGATTTTTTTCTAGTAAAGATGAAGCATTTGTAAGACATTGGAATTAAATAAAGTATTACCTCCTTCAAATAACAATCCTGCAATGAAGTTTTGGATATTGTGGTCCAAATGGAATTTAAGCTATGCCCCGGAAACTGTTTTCAGTTTTAAGGTAATAGTGACCTTAACCTTTGACCTTGTGACCCTAAAATCAATAGGAGTCTTCTACCTTTTATGGACAATCATCCTATGAAGTTTGAATATTGTGGGCCAAATGGAACTTAAGTTTTGCCCCGGAAACTGTTTCAGTTTTAAAGAAATAGTGACCTTGACCTTTGACCTTGTGACCCCAAAATCAATAGGGGTCTTCTAACCATTATGGACACTCAGCCTATGAAGTTTGAACACAGTGGGCCAAATTAAACTTAAATTATGTTCCGAAAACTGTTTTTCAGTTTTTAGGTTATAGTGATCTGGACCTTTGACCTTGTGACCCCAAGATCAATAGGGGTTTTCTACCCAATATGGACAATCATCCTATGAAGTTTGAATATTGTAGACTAAACGGAACTTAAGTTATGCTCAAGAAACTGTTTTCAATTTCAAAGTAATAGTGACCTTGACCTTTGACCTCAAAATTAATAGGGGTCTTCTACCCAATATGGACAATCATCCTATGAAGTTTGAACACTGTGGACCAAATGGGACTCAAGATATACTCCAGAAACTGTTTTCAGTTTTAAGGTCATAGTGACCTTGACCTTTGACCTTGTGACCCCAAAATCAATAGGGATCTTCTACCAAATATGGACAATAATCCTATGAAGTTTGAACACTGTGGGCCAAACGGGACATTAGTTATGCTCCGGAAACTGTTTTCAGTTTTAAGGTCATAGCGACCTTGACCTTTGACCTTGTGACCCCAAAATCAATAGGAGTCTTTTACCCAATATGGACAATCATCCTATGAAGTTTGAATATTGTGGGCCAAATGGAACTTAAGTTATGCTCCGGAAACCAAATTGCCTACGGACGGACAGACAGACGGACACCAGGGGGTAGAACATAATATGCCCGAAAATTTTTCGGGCATATAAAAAGGCAATGTGAAATGTGTTTAAATTGATAGTGTACTTAAACTGTAAAACCAAGACCCAATCAAGAATTTATAAACAACAAATGCTTGTTTTCTGGAACAGAGACAAAGAAACATTGAGTATGACCCTGATCTTTTGACATGGATATTACATCTAACATATCTTCATTTTTAGTATGATATTAAATAATCCATCCATGAAAGGCAAAGAGAAGTTTATCTTAATGTAGATAACATCTCTTGATTCCTTCATGGATCCATGCTTCATGAAGTATTGTTTGAGCACTCTTTGATCAAGCCCGTGTTTCAAGAATCAACAGTTTTCAGCACTTATTACTGTTTTAAGCTTGCATTTCCTGATTATTATATGCTTTTCTATAAAAATGAGTCACTCGACAAGACATAGTAGATGCAGTGAAACAAACATTTACCTGAACTCAGAACCTCATTGTCAGCACAAATTTTTATGGCATCACAGCCTGAAAGACTCTCCTCTCCACCAATGGCTGTTAGAAGCTCTCTAACCTCTTCTAAAAAAAGAAAAAAACAGAAACAAACTCAAAATATTCTGTTATCACTAGAGCCATCACTGAAAAAACGCATTTAACTGCTTGCCTGAAAGCCTTGCATAATTTCTTAGAACAAATGAAATTATCTCTGACCTCTTAATGAAAATACAAGGTCAAGCAAAAAGGGCCAATGCACTTTAAATTTCTCTAACAACTTCTCCTTAAGTTTTAATGTTTCAAGAAAAAATGCACTGATGTTTTGTTTATTGCAGGGTCTAGTTTCAATATGTATTTTAAAGGAAAACTTCAAAGCTATTAAGTGTACTTAATTACATGCTTAAGTATTTTCAATATATTTGCAAAGATTCAAAAGCACCAACGTAGACTTGCTCAAAGCAAGGCCACATAAAAGTAAACTTTCAAGTTATGTTTTTTTATTAATCAAAATCAAAAAAATGTCCCTATGGGAATGACATAAACTGAAACTAAATATCAGAATATTTATCTGGATAAGACTTAGTAATACTCACCAATTGTCATATCCTTGAAAAGTCCATCACCGATTTGATATTTAAAATGTCTGTATTTTTCTGTCTTATTCCATTGTCCAAGATTAGAGCCTCTGATGATGTAGTTAGCCTTATAGAATAAATCATTTAACTATGACAAATAGCATTACAAATAAATAAATAATATATTTTACTGGACACTTCTAATTACCAATAAGGTAAACGGAACCATAATAAATTGTAAAACAACCTCCACTATAATATTTCCATTATTTCTCAAGAGTTCAATTTAACTGTTTATCTCAACATCAAGATCAGTGCACTTATCTAACAAAATTTCATTAACAATGCAATTTGTAACACTTGTTAACTCCAATTTATTAATTAAACTTTTAAAACATCTTTAAAACTAGTCATAATATAAAAAAAAGGAATGAGAGCAAAAGTGGTAGATCAAGGCTGAAAATAATCCATATGAATTTTATTCTGATACAGCAGACCAATGTAATGTCTTGGTGACAAGTTCATAAGGTATAGAACAGACAGGAATAGAATGAATATATAAACGGAAGAAATATGTAATATAAAACATAATTCTTTATAAAGTTTTACTGTCACACATAAATATATCAATGCTACAGTATGTAAAATGTACCTTGTTTTGCAAGAGTCCTTTCTCAATTGATTCATGAACCCATCTGCTGCTTACTATCATTTTTGTTCTACCAACAAGTGCCAAATAAACACCCTTGTGATGAACAGATGTCATCAATTGTTCATCTGAAAACATTTGTAGTTTATGGAAATTTGAAGCTTGTAAAATGAACAGAAATACTCTCATATATATACTGAAACAAAAAAGAAACTCTCTCCAAGTTTGAATGTAGACATGTTAGTACAGTTTTAACTCGATTTTTACGTTGAATA